TAGAATAAAAGAGAAACCAACACCCACTCAGTTTAATTCTAGGGTTTCAGAACTAGGCCAGCCTGCCCTGCTAACTCCCAGAGCCTCTGTGTGAGATGGGAGACCACTGCACCCTTGGAGGGTCACCCTGTACTGGATTAAAAGTCTTGATGTATTATCTAGCAGTGATGCTGCTTTCGAAACAGAAACAGATGTTACAGTATCCTTTATCCTAAAAGACAGGTTTGGATGTTCAATAAACCCTGAGTATGTGTAAATTTGGAACACGCAGTTTTGAAATGAATTATATTTGTCAGTAGATGCTAACTGCAAAACTGGCTTAATTTTAATGTTACTAAACATTGCTCTACTAAGCAAGAGAAAGTAGTTGAACCAAATATAAGAGAAACATTTCCTCTAATGAGTGGAACTTAGAAGTAAACAAACCAATTAAAAATGATTCCTTGCTTCTAAGATAGCAACCTCTGGGGGAGTGGATTGATAAGAAGCAGATCAGCACTTCTGGTGGGAAAAATCTGAGAAAAGGACTACAAACAGGCTCATCCACAGGTCCCAAGTAGGCTGGCTGCCATGAGTGATGTGCAGCATTCTCCAGTTTGGAAGATGCCCCGAGATCCAATTTTCTTCTCCTGCTTTCCGCTAATCAGGCACCCAACAGAGCCAAGCCACCACCCAAAAGGAGCATCTATTCTTAGTAAAACAGATCTTATGAGCAAGGAGTAGAAAAAAGGACATATGCTGCTTTTTTCTTTATTAAATGCACCCCAAATAAATTGACTTTGCTTTAAGCCAGGGTACTCCGGGTGCTTAAATAGGTTTGTCTTTACAGGTGTAAGCTAAGGGAAGGGTGAGGACCAGCTTGGAAGAGTCTTGGATGGGGAAAGTGATAATGGAAAAAATTGAATTTGAATTTTTGCTGGGGGAAGTGGGAAGTATGCAACCGGAAGTTGCCATGCCCAGGAAAGGGTTGGGGTTGGGATGCAGTTAGGGTTCAACTAATCAACATCCTGCTGCTTAGAGCAGCAAATGGAGGGTTTTTTTTTTTTTTTTTTACTTCTGCTGCAACTAATCTAGGAATTATATTGTGCTGAAACACTTAGGGGAAGACAAGACTTTGGTCCCTTGAGCCAGAATAAGAACAGAAGATTCCAGGGGTCCCCTATGACATTTGGGGCCATGGATTAGAGCACAAGAATGGAACAATGCTTGGAAGAGAGAAGCACATGAAAAACCCTTGGGTGCCTCTTAGGGCTTGTCTGCATTCTCTGGATGTGGGGGGGTCACATATCGCTTCACATGACTGAAGTTCACATCTTTCTTCTAGAGCTAAAGTCCTTACAAACACATTTATTTCAGTGGTAATTTAAAAATATCTATTTTCCTGAAATGTATCAGAGTCATCCCTTACTCCTGATGCTACAATTCCCCAAAGGCACTCAGGTAAGGTCAGTAGCACAGACTGCAGCATGACATGATGTCCACTAACCAGACCTCCTGCCAGGTAGAGTGTATGCATACCACTCTACCCTGCACATGAGCTATCCATAATATGCTTAGTGATCTCTCAGTTGTTCAACTCTTCCTCAATCCTCCTAGTTTTTATCTGAACTCTCAAGCAAAGGGTGCTATTTGTCAAACACATTTTGCTGTCCTTTGTACATCCACCTAGTCATCCTGTACCATTCCTGTCTTTTTTATTTGGGTAGGAGATGGAGGGACAGTAGAATGAAATTCATATACTGGCCGCTTTAGGAAATGGGTACTCTCTCTAGAAGAAAGTTCTTCACCGTAACATATTACAGCTAAGAACAGAGTCTAAAAGCTTTTGCAAAACCCTTCAGAGGCCTTATATAGGCAATGGATTTTTGTTCTGTTTTAAAGTCTGAAAGCTATTTAATACATCAGTGGAGGAAAGGGCTCCAGACATCTCTATTCTGCCTACAGACCACAGATCCATTGATTTCCCAGACGACAACGTTTCAGAGTGGACAGCTGTCAGCCCAAAGCTCCAGGAAGGGTCCATCAATCAATGAAGATAATGTGTCATTTTAAAAATGAAGGTAGTTAAGTTGGAGTTTCTACTTTGGATCGAAAAAGTTACTCAACTTCAGCTCAAGAATTCCTGTGAGTAAAGTATTGGCCTAAGGATGGGCTCAACCTCGGTTTGTCACTGGGTCTAGAGAACAATTTCCTTCTTGTCTTTATGATTCACAATGTTCTGCCAAAAAAGTGAGAACTCTTTGGGGGAAGTCGTTGCAAAAATGTTCCCTGTGTTCCCAAGAGGAGTTAATTCTCTTTGATTGGTTCTAGGAACATCCTTCCAGGTCCCTGCTGGCTCTTCAATCTCTCTCACTTACCTGTCCCTATGACCAATTAATTCATCTAGAAACAGTTACCCCTGTTTGTTCAGAACTCAGCCAGGAACTCTTAAGTCCCGAGGCTGTAAAATAGCCAGGCAGGAAAGAGTCTCCCCCTCAAATCTGAATTCCTCTTGGTTCTAGAGAAGAGTCACATTAGAAAAACTTACCTTAAAGACCCAATGGTTTTACCACAGCCATTTCATTTGCCTATGGCATATCAGATTACTCTGAATAGTCACTGTTAGAGATACTGTCTAAATCCTAGATCAAGTCCAGTGACATTCATTTCACAGTTGTTTTGATTTTTCATTTCTTCAGTTAGAGAAGTCAATCTGTCCTATCGTTATTTTATTTTTTCCCCCAATTTTATAGGAACTTTACAAAATAAAATCTTTCAAAAAGCCCCCATTAATAGCTATTAAAAATAACTGAGACTCCATTTGAATCTATATATTCTTATTTTATCAAAGATCTGCCTGGAATATCTCTGAGTTGTAATGTTAGCCTTGCGGAGTTGAATTGCTGGAGATCTCTAGTAACTCTGTGGACAAAGATCTCCCTGGATTGACCTAACCCTCTTCTGTTAGGTATGGCCCTAATTCTGAATAAAAAGAAAAAAAAAAACACATTTATCGGTCCTTCTCTAGCCTCAACCAGTTGGTAGAGATCACAGATCACACTCGTTCCCTGGAAGCAAAGTCTTGAGACTATTGTTTCTCAGGTGGGTTTCGAAGATATCCAAGATGGAAGCTAAAGCTTTCAAAGACAAGGCAGGACTGGGAAGCCATCTGTCACTCGAGCTGCAATGACAAAGTTCTGTATTTGGACAAAATCCTCTTGGCAGTAAACTTTATTGTATGCCAAGAACAATTAGGTCTTTAGAAATATTACTTTCTAACAAGCAAATGGATCATGAGACTAAATATTATTGTTGACAGTCTCCTATTTTAGAAGGTAACTGCTATAATCTGAATCTTGTATCTCTCCAAAAGGCTCACATGTTAAAGACTTGGTCCATAGGGTAGCAGTACTGGGAGGTCACAGGACTTAGGGAGGTGGGATCTAGTGAGAGGTCTTTAGGTCATAGGGGGTGAGTCCTTGAAGGGAACTGTGGGACCCTAGCTTCTTCCTCTCTTTCTTCAATCCCTGTTTGGTGATATAAGTGGTTTTGTTCTACCACATATTTCTGCCATTGATGTGCTGTCTCACCATAGGCCCAAAACAATGAGGCATCACAGTTTGATGATTCATAGACTAGAATCATCAAAACTTCAGCTAATACCTTTTTTCTTTTAAGTTAATTATCTCAGGCATTTCATTATAGGGATGGAAAGCTGACTAACACAGGAGTCAACAGTGCCCTAAAAGCAGACTACAAAATGGTAAGATTCAATAACTTCACTGTACATATTTAGAATTAATTTTGTAAAGTTTCACTTCTATCAGTATCTCCACATTTTATATCCTGCTGGTAACATTTCTAAATTTTTCAAGAGAATTTGGGCTTTTTTTTTTAAGCTTACTCTCTTAGAGATCTGATAACCCAAGGAATCTCAGTAAACTTCTCAAGCAGACACATTACCTGTTTAAAGCTTCAGGAGAGTGAAGAGTAATTTATGAAATTTCAATGAATAACACAGTATTTTCCTGAGAGGGTTCATCTAAAAGACTGTTTCACATTCAAAGTGAAGTTTTCTTTTATTATAGGATCTGAATCAATACAGCAAACAGGAAACTGCAAAGAGAAGAGTTTGAAAGCTGCTCTAAAAGCCCTCGGGAGTCCCTATTAAATGAGATACTTTGGTGTAAAATTAAAAAATACAGCCTATGGGACAGAAGGAAATTTTTATTACTCAGAGATATAGCCTTACAAGACTTCATTATTAAATTAGAAAAATGAAGAAATAGAGGAAACAAATCTTTTTAAGAAGAAAAAGAAGAAGCCAAATGATTGAATCAAAATGTAAAAAAGCTGGGCGCAGATTATGCCTGTAATCCAGTGGTTAGGGAGGTTAAGACAGGAGAATCGAGAGTTCAAGGCCAGCCTCAACAATAACAAGGCACTAAATAACTAAGTGAGACCTTGTCTCAGGGCTGGGGATGTGGCTTAGTGGTTGAGTGCCCCTGAGTTCAATTCCTGGTACACACACCCCCAAGAAAAGGAAAAATATTAATATCAATAATACAGATAATAAAAATTTATAAGATATGCAAATATATCCAACTGTTTTTGTTTTTAATTTTTAAAAATAAAAATTGAAGACTCTTTGTAAGTCAATTTAAAGATAAAAGATCAAGGTCAAAAATTATATTGGTTAGAATGAGAAAGGAAACAAAGCCAGAGATACAGGATAAATTTAAAGGATTATAAGAAAATTCAGCTAGCAAATTTATGCCATCAAATTTGATTATTATTCTTGACAAATTTCAATCAACTACAAAGCAAAGTTGAGTGGATAATTACCATAGAAGAACCAGAAACATTATGAAAAGACTCAATATCAAAAAGGCCCCAGGAAATGATGCTACGTAAAACACTTAGCATGGTGCCTGGCATGTATTAAGTACTTAACAAATGCTCACTCTTGTCCTTAGTGATGACAGAAAGATACTTTAAGTTCAGATGTCTTTCATACTTACCTCCATTGTAAAGCCTATGACTTTGAAACACTGCTCGATTAATTCATACTGGGCTTTATAGAAACTATTATTCATCATGTCCTGTACTGTTCTGAGTTGATCACTGTATAGGTACCTGAAATCAAGTATAGAAGGACAAGTGAAAAATACCTAAAATTAAATGGATATGAGGATATTTCTTATGAAAGTACAACCTGGTAGATTACCTGGGAGGCTTATTTTCAGGCAATTTGTAAAGGGCCAGTTTCTTCTTTTCAGCTAAACCAGCATAAATGTAGTAAAAAATGTGAAAATTTTTTTCTCCACTGAAAAAAAATAAAACATTTTCAGTAAGGTGGTTAGTAAGAACATTAATTAATTGTTAAAATACTTGACAATGCAATTATTAGAACAGAAAGAACTTTGAGGGCTAGGGATCTAGCTCAGTAGAGTGCTTGCCTTGAATGCATAAGGCCATGGGTTCAATCCCTAGCACCACCACAAAAAAAAAAAAAAAAAAAAAAGAAAAGAAAGAACTTTGCCTGAATACTCCATTCTGTGGTTGTTTCTGTCACATTATTTCCAATAATCACTGTCAGTAAATTCCACCCACCATGATAAACAGTTGATATGAATCATTCAATGTCTGTTTGTGGGTGATTTCCATCATTGTTCTAGACACTGGGAATACAGCAGGAGCAAAGCAGTCAAGAATCCCTAACTGCTTGGAGTTTTTTGTCAGAGGAACAGACAGGAAAAGAAACAATAAAAAATATATATAGCATGGCAGCTGGTGATAAATGTTGCATTCTCTAATGTACCCAGCATAACTCCCTGAGGTAGGCACTGTTTCCCCATTGTACGTATCAGGAAAATCAGACTAAGAGCTACCAAATTCCCCCAAGGTTCCAGAGTTAATGACTATTTGGGATGCAAACCAGGTCTATTTGACTCCAAAGTTTGTGTCTTTAACCATACTTTTACACAGTCTTTCTGAGGCTCAGTTTTCTCACTTGTGTGAGGAGTCTCTTTCTTATAACTCTCAAATTCCATGACCTTAAGACTCTAGGTATAAAGATCATTTCTCAGATGCTGTAATAACACAATGAAGGGAATAGGGATCACAACAGCGTGAGTCTCTGGCTCAGGCTGTCCCACAACTTGTTTGTGGGACTCCAGGGTCTCACCCCCTTCTCCTCTTTCCCTGGGGCTCTCCTTTCACTCTGATGAGCTCTTGTTATGGGTGGTCCTAAATCCTCCCTTGACTACACATTCCACTATCACTAGCTGGGGTTGGGTCAGGGGAGGATTCTTCCTAAAAGGGTTAAATTAATTATAATGCTTTATAGAAACTGTCAAAGCTTTGTTAACCTTGCTTCCTTATATTATTTTTCCTCTTTCCATTTGTCTTAAACTCATACCATCACAAAGCTCTGGATGTGACCACGGGACAGATTATAAAATCCTACATTATTGCTCTTCTCTTGTCTGCCCTAGGCCATGACGGAGCTGTCTTAGGGTGTCTCTGTCTCATCATGCCCCATAAATGTCTGGATATCAGGTATTCTCCAAAAGTCTGTGCTAATGCAGGAATATTCAGAGGTGAAATGATTAGATTTTGAGAGCTCCGATCTAATCAGTCCACCCTACTTTGAATGGACTAACTGAGTGTTAACTATGGGCAGGTGGGTGGGGCATGCCTAGAGGAGGTGGGTCATGAGGGGGGTCGGTATTATCCCCTGGAAGGGTTCATCTTCCCTGGGGCCCCTTCCCTCCACCTCCTCCTCTCTCTGCTTTCTGGACGCCATGTGTGGAGCAGTGCTTCTCTATCATACCCTTCCACCATGATGTTCTGCCTCTTCTTGAGCCCAGAACAGTGGAGTTGGCCATTTATGAACTGAAGTCTCTGAAACCATGAGCCATAATGAAGTTTCCTCCTTTCATTTGTTCTTGTCAGGTGTTTTGGTCACAGAGACAAAAGCTGACTAACACACTCCCTACTCCAAGGCAGCAAGTCTTTCCCCCTTTGAGACACTCCTCTCCTCCTTTCCCTTACCTCCTTCATAGCCAGTGTCAATGAACTCAGGGGCCAATGAAATATTTTCAGAAAAGGAATTACTATTATCAAGTTGTTATTTTTTCATGAACAAGGGAGCCTTTAAAAGCTTTTCCACTTGAAGACCACGGAAAAGGAAAGGAGTGTACTTGATAATATGCGTAATTCCTCACAAATTGTTTTACTTAAAAGATCAGAATGGATTTTAAAACTTTCCTAGGTCTTCTCCTCCTGCATATGATAATGCAATATAGTTACAGAGAAGATGGAAATTTAATCTTTTCTCACTAGAAATTATTTATTCTTTCTACACCCAGAAATTTTCAATGGTAACTCAAACATATACATATAGATTCCCTTTTTCAAGGATGCAATAAAAGATGTTTGGAGTTTGGGGAACTCTGTGGATTTATTTAATAATATCTATTAAAGAAAGGTAAACTTAGAAGAGAGAAAGATGTACACATTTGGGCATTAATTATCCAGAGCTATCTGTTGAGACCATAATATCAAAAGAATTAAAAAATGAGGGAGAAGAGAACAAAGAACAAAGAACTCAAGGACAAATCTTGGCAAACGCCCATTTTAAGACTGGATAGATGAACTGAAGTCGGAGAAGAAAAATTCAGAGAGGCAGAAGGAAAACCAGGAGAAACCAGCTGCAGAACAAGGAAGTGAGGGTTCCCAGGTCAGATGCTTATAGGAGGACTGGCAGAGCCTTTCTTCCGAATTGGTCCAATTTACATGTTCCAAGCCCCTCTCTGTTGCTTGCTGTGACTGCAAGTATGAGTTCAACCAACTCGAACATTGCACATGAGCAAGGTTAGAACAAAACTAAAAGTTTTGTTTAGTTCTCATCTTTTCCCACCACAAGATAATGAAAATTCTCTAAGCCTAGCACAGCATATAATTTAGTTTGCTTTGTTCTAATGAAATCACATTGATGGCTCTGTGTGTCTCATCTTTAACACTCAAGTGATGCAATGTACAATTAGTGAAGTGACTCATAAATGTAGACACAAAATTAGTGGATTTCTCTTTAATTGCCAGTTTACATTTACTGAGAATTGTAATTTGATAAGACCTGGAGATACTGTGGGAAATAGCTGACCTTCAGTGGATAAACAACAGAGAGTTAAAACAATGAGAAAAGAATCCATCTCCAAAGATTACCCCCTCTCAGGTCCTCTCCCAAGCCCCATGAAAGTTGCACTTGAGAGGTCCCCATAGCATCTCACACATGCCGATGTGACCAGTGTGTCCCAGGTCAGGAGTGCCTGGAGCAAAAGCAGGGTCTCAGCAAACTACCAAATATTATCTCTCTGACTCTGGCCGAACTTGCTTTGTGCATCCATTAATATTATTTTTGAGTTCCACTCAGTCACTTGCAGAAATATTCACCTGCCTTGGACCCTGAGAATCATCTTTGCATCTCAGCCCCTACTATCCTTGAACTTGTGGCAAAGTCTTCACAAGGGTGTAGTTTAATTCATCTGAGAAACTTTTGAACTTTTGAAAGAATGGCCAGTAACAAGGTTTGTAAAACTAATGATGAGTTTTGCTTTCTTAAATCCCCATAGATATTCGCATAATGGTGTTTTCCGTTTTTATCTCTATTTATAAGCTCCCTCCTCCTAGACACCTACTCTCCTCATTCCCCCTCCTTACCACCTACCTGCTCATTCTTAGCAGTCAAACTCCATTTCCTACTTTCCTGCAATAGTAGAGACCAATGAATGACCAGCAAGCTTTGCACCAATGTTCTTAGGAGACTGTGAGCTGCTTTACCCCAGAAATTATCTCTTATTGGTTTATATCTCCTGTGCTTAGCATATAGTAAGTAGTCCGTAAATATTTGTGAAATGGATGAATGAATGGATAAATGGTGAGCTCCTGAGTCAGAGACAAGGGTTCAAACTCCAACTCATTTATTTACCAGCTTTTTGATATTAAGGCAACTTATTAAAATGCTCTTAGTTCCAGTTTCTTCATGTATAAAGTAGACAATAACACCCTGTCATCCAGCTGTAAGAATTAAATGGCATAATGGCTGTACCGTGCTTGCCAGGAGTAATTGCTCCATAAATATGTTTTCCCTCCCTCTACAGCAGAGAGCACCAAGTCTGCCACTTCATTTATGACTCTTAGGGAACCTACTAAAGGGCTGGCAAGGGACAGAAATGCAATCAATGCTTGCGGAACTACACTGTCGTAACAGGAGGAAATGGCAGTGGAAACAGCTATAATATATGTGTGAGAGAATTATCCAGCGCTGCCTTCAATATGCTCATTTTCTCCTTGAAATAAAGTAGCCTCCTTAAAAACATTCCTTATAATCATCAACATTTTGAAAAAAAATTCAAAGTGACAAGTCATGAGAAATATAACCTATAAGTATGGTCAGAGAACCCGGGTGGGATGAGGTGTACAGAGGTAAAAGAGAATAGAAGCCAATTTTCTTAAAAGAAAAGGTGAGTTCAGTTTAAATTATATGCATCTGCTCTGGTTATTCCCTGCCCCTTCAGATCCTCCAACTTTCTCTGCCTTGCTCTGTGACCCCTAGATTCACTTCTGCCACAGCAACACCTGAGATCTGGGGTTCTGGGGCTCCGGGGCTTCCATTTGGCTTCCATCACTGGGATGCACAGAGGACACTGGAGAGGAGAGGCACGGCATCTCATCTTGCCTTCCCCTTGACAGAGGCTACCGTCTTCAAGGCAAAAGACCTTACAGGACAGTCCCTGCCCTGTACAAATGGTTTCTCACCCTTGTTAGTGCCTGGGCACCTGGCCATTCCTTCTTAATTCTATGATGTCCTTACTGCCTTGGCAAATAGGTTTTGCAGTTCAACCCTTTGAACTGATTCTTTCCTTTTTGTAACCCTGATTGATATAATAATCCCTTTAAATGTATAATTTTAAAAATGTACCTATAAATAATGCTTCTACTGTTTGTCTGATATTTTCATTTTCGAAGGTCACAATAAGCTTCTCTAAGATGTACAAAATACAATTCCCATTAAAGAAAAAAAGCAAAAATGGGAAAATGTTATATTTTCAATTATAAAGTAGCCATGCTCAAATGATATCTGAGTTGTATTTTAACTTGATTTTCAATTTGGGACTTGGAATGCTTTCCCCAGTAAACAATATAGTAAAACTAAAATAGTTCTTAGGCAGCTAGAGGGAAAATGCTTAATTATAGCATGTCTTAAATATAATCCAAATTACTTTATTATTTACTTATTTACTTATTTTTGGTACCAGGGATTGAATCCAGGGGCACTTAACCACTGAGCAACATTTCCATCCTTTTTTTTTATTTATTTTTTTTGAGACAGGGTCTCCGTAAGTTACTTAAGGCCTTGCTAAGTTGCTAAGTCTAGCTTTGAACTTCTGATCCTCCTGCCTTAGATTCCTGAGTTGTTGGGATTACAGGCATGCACCATTGCACCTAGCACACTATTTTCTTTAGAACCAGAGGGTACTGGGCACAGTGGTCTATGTGAGTGATGCTCTAGCACGTAACTTCATAGAACAGACTGGGAACAAAGCTTCTTAACATTGCACAGCAGGGTGGCTCTGTCTAAATATCAACAGGTTACTGGGGAGTTCTGTCCCCAAAGGCCTGAGAGGCTTATACAAGTATGAGAGTAGAACAAATAACTCCTGAGAACCAGTTAAGCCTCCACATCTACATACATAGACCCCAACGTTTCCCTAGGTATTGAGTGGGGAAGGCTCTGAATGTCCACTAGGATCTGGGTAGTGGACACACATCAATAGTAGCAGATGTCATTTATTGAACATCTTCAATGTTCCAGGTCTATGCTAAATGTTATTTCTAATCTTCATAGCAATCAACACCATGACCACTCCTACTAATGGCTTGTACTATCAGGCATTATCTTAATTGATAGGTAGGTACTAATGCTATTTCTATTTTAAAGATAAAAAACTGAGGTGCAGAGAGGTTCAGTAAACTTCATCTCTCTCTCTCTCTCTCTCTCTCTCTCTCTCTCTCTCTCTCACACACACACACACACACACACACACACACACACACACACACACAGAGTAAGTTGCAATCTTTAAGTTCCTATTAGGGTCCCATAAGTGTCTTTAAGATCCTGTAAGGGTCTTCAAGGTTTAAATATCTTATCCAAGGTGGACTTTCTGGAGTCATAATTCAAAACCAAATTTGTCTAATATTCGTTCTTTACATATTTTGAATTGAAGACTCAAGGGTGATTATCCAAATTGAGGGATGTGCTTAGGAGTTGGACTCCAGGCAATTTTATTAATTTCTCTCTCTCTCTCTCTCTCTCTCTCTCTCTCTCTCTCTCTCTCTCTCTCTCTCTCGGTTCTGGGGATTGAACCCAGGGCCCTGTGTATGCTAATGGCACATTTTACCACAGAGGTACACCTCCAGTCCATATTCATGATTTATTTATAAACTGAATGATAGCAAATTCGCAAACACTTAACAAATTAAATAATAATGTACTAATGCATAACATGATACCATGTTCTTATGAATTTAGCATGAAACATTGCTTCAATACAGTATGTTTAGCATGAAACCAACACGAGAAAAAAGGATTCAAACTTATCTCACTTTCTTTAAAAATAATATAACTACCAGGTTACAAATCCAATGTGTAACTATAGTTTTCTATAATAACAACAAAAATCTTTTGGAATCATTAGATAGGAGGAGAAATTTTGCCATTCAGCTATACATTGCCAAAAGGAACTCATTCAATCTAATATCCAAACCATCTAGATAGTAATACTTTCAATAAGTTAGCAACAAAAATGGAAAGACAGGAGGCTGGGGTGTGGCTCAGTGGTAGAGCACTTGCCTCCCATGCATGAGGCACTGGGTTCGATCCTCAGTGTCACATAAAAAAATGAATAAACAAAATAAAGATACTGTGTCCATGTATAACTAAAAAATATGTTTTTTTAAAAATGGCAATACAATACAGCCTATTTCTAAATCTTTTACTTGGTCCTTTATGTGAAAACACAGGAAGAACAGAATTAATATAAAGATTTGTTTTTTTGTAGCATCATTATAATTTTTAATTATTTCTTATTAAATTTCAAGTTGATTTTGTATAGAGAGATGTATTCTTTCCTACTTGGAAACTTGTTTTCATTTACTCTGTTAGTACCGCTCTGATTGGTTTGGCTTTCTGCCTGATAGCATGATTTTTAGGTTATTTGTTAATTCCTCTACTGGATACAACAAATGTGAGAGTAACTTGGTGCTTCGGGGCTCTCTGCTTTCAATCATAGTAGGTTATCAACATCAGTTTTTTGAATGAGAAAGACCTTTGATTATTCAAATAGAAGCACTGTCTTTGCTGATGTTTCCCAGAAAACAAGAGCTATCTCATATGAACCTACATGGCTTGGTGGATAACTCGGGATTTCTCCAGAAGGTATTCAGAAATCTGTGCTCCCGCTACAGCTCCAGAAGTGGTAAATTTCATTTCCAAGTATTTCCCAAATCGGCTGGAATTGTCATTTATAATAGTACAGGCGTTGCCAAAGGCTTCTACCAAATTGTTCACTTGTAAAATCTTCTCTTGCAGGGTTCTGTTGTTAGCCTAGGGAGGAAATGTCAAGATACAAAAAAAAAAAAAGTGTGAAAAACTAACTTTGTCAATAATAAGATGTCTCTTCTTTGATAAACACTTTATGTGGACATAAACATTTGGGAGCATATTCTTGGTCTGTCGTCAGATGTCACAACCTGGTCTGTATTTCCCCTCTAGGATATGTGTTCGCCCACTTGCTTTCTTAAAAGTGCATGAAGACAGACTCTACACTTTTCTATTCCAATGCAGTACTGTGCAGTGCCTGACTGAAACACAACTTACAAGCAGACTATGCACACTGAGGTACACGTCTCATTTTGTTATTCCTATCCCTCTGTGTTGGGCCCCCATCCAAATCTTCCCCAGAGCCAGAACCACTTCTCTTGCTTCCAAAGAAGCTTCCAAGCCTGAAACTAAGAGAGTAGAGTTAACTCGAGAATTCAGAAGTGGAAGAAAGGGAATCGTGAACATTAAGAGCAGCTCAGAATCATGAATGGGAGCCAATGTGGTATCCTTCTATTTTCTCCTACCCCATCTCTATCTCTTATGCTTTTCCCTTCAAGCAAATGTTAGGCTTGTTTTTCTTCTTTACCATTTTATCTGAAATTCTACCAAGTAAGAATTTATTTGTGTTAAGAGCCAACCACTTTTAGAAAGGCATGTCCACCCTCCAATCCCCTAATCATCCACATCTTGGCAGAAATCTGCTCAAGGATATCAGGGTTAGTCCTTAATACCTGGCTGAGCTCAGCTGTGTTAAAGGCATAGGTATATTTTGAGTTACAGGAAAGGAGCACTGGCTAACTCTGGAACAGAGGCTACACTAGAATTTGAGTGGACTGTAGAGGGGGTGATCACAGTGAGGTTTTTAGGCTGTGTAAGGACCCTGGGAGTCTTTTAAAAGATGCACTAAGGGGTGAAAGAAGGGAGCAGGGAGTATTAGGACAAAGTTGGCTCTTTAAAAATGTTTTTGGCTAGCCCTAAACCCACAAAAGGGTGAGATAATATCTCCAGCCACCTATATTAAATAGCAGAGATCTGCTACAGAAGGAACAGAGGAATACTATTCCCAAGATAGTCTATCCAGCAAACACCCTGTTGTTTTGCATCTAGTAAATCTTTATCAAAGAGGTGAGTAAAAAAAGAACAAGATAAGACCTGATAACAGTGCACGCACGCACACACACACACACACACACACACACACACACACACACACCACCACCAACAACATTAGATCACACATTTAGATCTAGAACAAGATGAAGAGATTAGATGAACAACTTTGCTGACATGGACAAAACAGCATCCACACATGGTTAATCCATTATTGATGGGAAAATCTGTTAGTTCACTAAGCAAGACAGAAGAGCAAGAGTGGCCCTGGAGTACATGAATTCAGGTGTTCAGCCCTTTTATGCCTGAGGACTATGCTGTGCCTCACTGATCCGTTTCCTGTACCGCATCTTATTTCACTCTCCCTAAAACCTTTAGCATGATATTTATTTAGAAGTAAGGAGAGGGGTGATGCTGGGCAAGGGGAGTGGAAGGACCTGAGAAGAGAGACTGGAAGCGGTGCCCCCACCTTCCTAGTCTTTGGCAGCCCTTCCAGCCCCAAGGAGCCACATCCCTGGAGGGCAGAGGTCATATTAACCACTCAGCAAAGCACATGTACACCCCACACCAACATGCCAGAGAGAAAATATTACAGTCAGTTGGTTTTTAATAGGAACATGGAATTCTTTCTACTCATCATTTTGAAAATGAATTAGACTCAATTAAGCAGCTATTTTACCTTATGTAGCCTCAAAGTTTTATAAGAGAGATCTAGCTTTGCATTCACTGGTACTTCATAACACAAAATTCCTATAATCACGGTGCTGACAATATATTTAACATAGCTCTAGTTATAACAAGCTAGATCACAATAAAAAGATTTACAAGGGTAAGTTGTATCAATGACTTCTTTTGATACTAGCCTAATGAGAAAACACAATTCTTGTCTTATTTTTAGGGCTCTACTAGAATATCAAAGTTTCCATCTTCAATTTCCTTTTTTTCTTTTAAATCAAGGCATAGTTTACATAAAGAATCACCCTTCATAGTGTTCATCTCTGAGAGGTTTTACAAACATTCAATCACTTAATCTCCCCTGCAGTCTGCACATAGAACAGTTCCTTCACCCTTCACAATTTATGTCTCCAACCTTGGGAGCTAATCCCTCCCTCTACTTTGAGCTCCTGTCAATCACCCATCTATTTCTATTCCTGACATTTCAACATCACAAGAATGAGGCATAAATTGAATCATATGGCACATTAGTCTTTTGAATCTGGTTTCTCTGACTCAGCACCATGCACTGGAGGTTTAACCCCTGAGATTTATCACTTCCATCAGTGTTTATTCCTTTTTACTACTGAGTAATATTCCATTATATGGATGCACTATGGTTTATCCATTTTCTAGTTCAAGGTTTTCCACTTTCTGGAGTTTATTAATAAAGTTTCTCTAAATAATTGCCAATAAAATTTCGTGTGAATGTGGGTTTTCGTTTCCTCTGGATAAGCAGGAGGATTGCTGAGCCAGGTGGTAAGTATAATTTAGCTTTATAAGAAACATCCAAACTGTTTCCAGAGTGGCTGTGCTACATTGTGTTCTCACCAGGAACACATGAGAGTCTCAACTGCTCCACAGCCTTGTCAGCACTTCTTCCTGTGCAATTTTAAAAGCAAATTGTAACCAGTTCAATAGGTGCTTAATGGTGTTTAATTGTGGTTTAATCTGCACTTCTCAAATGTCTTTTGAACAACTTTTGATTTATTTGAATCTACATGTCATCTTTGCTGAGGCAAATGTTCAAATAGTCCATTTCTTGTCATTTGATTTATTGAGTTTTAAAGTTGTTTCCATATATTCTAGATACAGCTAAATACAGCTTTATTAGATATGTGACTTGCAAATATTTTCTGAGAATGTGGTTTGTGTGTTCATTTTTCAACAGTGTCACCGGAGATTAGACGCTCTTAATTTTGGTAAAATCTGATTCTTCTTTTTATGAATTATACATTACATGTTGTATCTAAGAGCTCTTTGATTAACTCAAGAGTTCTAAGAGGTTTTACTAAGTTTTCTTCTAGAAGTTTTACAGTTTTTGGGTTTACATTTAGGTTTATTATCCATTTTGAGTTTTTTTTTTTAATAATCTATGAGGTCTAGGTTGGGGTTTGTGGTTTTTTTTTTTTGGCATATGCAATTATCCCAGCACCATTAGTTAAAAATTAATTCTTCATTAATTGACCATGTGCCTTTGTCAAAAATAAAAAATATGTGTTCTATATTCTCCTCCATTAATCATTTTTTACCCTTCCTTTAATAACATACTTCTTGAGGAAAGGGAAAGAAGAGGATGAGAGAGGGCAGTAGGGAAGGATGATACAATCTAAGAATGATATGTGCATGTATATAAATGTTATAGTCAAATCCACTAATTTGTATGATTATGAGTCAATAATGATAATAAAATAGATACAAAAAATAACATACTTCTTGACCATTATAACTTTAATAAATCTTCTTTTTCAAAATTACTAGGGACTAGGGGCTGGAGTTGTGGCTCAGTGGTAGAGCGTTTGCCTTGCATGTGAGAAATCCTGGGTTTGATCCTCAGTACCACATAAAAATAAATAAACAAAAAAAAGATATTGTGTCCATGTGTAACTAAAAAAAATTACTTAGCTAGTCTAGGTCCTTTGTTTTTCCATATATATTTTTGATTCAGTGTGTTAATTTCCTCCAAAAAAAATCCTTTTGGGATTTTTACTGTTATTGCATTGAATGTCCAGGTCAATCTGTGAAGAACTACAATCTTAATAATATTGAACCATTTGATACATCAGTCTGGTATATCTCTATATTTATCTAGTTCTTTCTATATATATATATATTTTTTTTCTAATTTTCAGCATATGAATCTGCATGTATTTAATAAAATTTAGATTTACATAGTGCATGTTTTGTTTTGTTTGATGCTACTGAAGATGGTAATTTTGAGCTTCAATTTGTAATTGATTATTTCTAATATATACGTAATACTAAAGTCAACTGACATTTGTGCAATACTATATTTTAACCTGCCAGCAACAAAAGCAAAGAGAGAAAGGCATTCAGCAAGTGCTTTGGGGCTAAGCAGGGAAAGGTCACATTCATAAAGCCTTGCTTGAGAAAAATGTATCTGCCTTTTATATTGTTTGCTCTATTTTAAATTCAAATGATAGCAATTGCGTTTTATAATTTCCATTATTGAATGCGGGAGTTAGGGAATATTAATCTAATTAATTATATGAAATTCTGAAATACAACAAATATCTCTGCTAGGACAGAGAAAAAAAATTGTACCTTTCCAAGCACCGTCAGTTGCTGAACTAAAAGATGAGCACTTTCAGTCTTCCCAGCCCCACTCTCTCCAGAAATAACTATGCACTGCATGAGGAAAAAGGACATGGTGAGACTTCATCCTCAGGAAAGTAAACTGGCACACAAGAAACCAAGAGGGGAATTTTACTCGCCTTACCTGGTCTGAATTATATGTGACCATAGACTGATATCCTAAGTCAGCTATTGCAAAAACGTGAGGAGGGCTGGCAGTTCTCTTTGCTCCAAGATATAGTTTGGAATGCTAAAGGTTAAAAAAAAAATGCGTTACAGGACTTTTTAGTTTTGCTTCTGCTTTTGTTTAAACTCTGAACTATTCACAGATAAAACACTAATTTTTAAAGCAGCATATAAATAAAATACCATTACATGCCAACAAAATATCACACACACACACACACACACACACACACACACACACACACATGTATGCCCAAATTGCAAGTTATGCAAAATAAAACATTCATATGACTTCTGCAGCAAAGCTTAAGGCTTCAAAATACTATTACTTGTTTAAATTAAAAATACTTCATAAATAAGACATTTGGTATCATTTTATTGACTACTTCTTGAATACAATAATGCCTGGCTTCTGGCCTCTATTTTATTTCCTTTCATTTCATTTAAACTAAATTGTCTTGTCTGATTTGTACAAGATCACACAATTAATGTGCAGGAGAATTCTGCTAAAGCCTAACTTCTTCTGAAACTTAGGTCGAGGCTTCTAAATTTTAGGTTCGTAGAGGTTAACCTTATATATTTTTTACATGCAAAATATAACTATTAGTAAAATATTAAATAATTTTCTAGAATATGCAAATAGCTAGAAAAGAATAGGTCCAATTAAAAATGCAAAACAGCCAAGTGTAATTCTATACTTAAACCATTAGGGGTTGAATCATTGATAATTATATATTCATATTCATAAAACACTTCTAATATGATTGTAAGAAAGCCAATCAATACAATGAAAAGGAACTTTTAAAGTGACAAGAAGTTTTGCAGCCACTAAGTATGTATTATGCACATAAAAAATGTAGTTGCACTTTTGACTCTTCAATATTGGTTTGGAGACAGATAATTAAGTATATAAATAGACATCAGTTTAGTGAGATGCTATGTAGTACAGAACTGTTACCAATTACTGAATATAATTAACATTCTGAAACATACTTTTGGAACGAGGAAAACCACAAGCTACACCTAGACTGACTTCATCTATTTTTCATATCATTATGTTTTAACAATAACTACATCACTTCTTTTTTAAAGTGCTGTATAAAAAAGTTTTTGACATCCTTTTAAATTAGGAATCTGAATAAAATAATTATTTGTACAAAGTAAGAGAATGCAAACACATTGCATACCTTTGTAGAGTAAAGACCCAGATTCTGAAAAGGGTTAAGAGCAATGAGTATATCTCCCACATAGATATAGATCTGATCTCTCGAATAACACTTTTCAAGCTGCTCTGAGACTGTATTCTGCAAGAAAATAAAAATAATTTCTCTCTCCTAAAAATCAACTACAATTTGAAAAGTAAATAACAATAAGTAAAACACCTGGAATCTAGATGAAGAATTAGAAAGAAACATAATCACAGTAAGCAATGTAACATCAGGTGTGCAGGTACCCATCTGTTCAACAGGCATTTGCTTAGGTTTCTGAGAGCCAAAGAAGAATGTCATTGTAAACCACATTTTTCAAAGGACATAATATATCTCTATGCTAGATATTATGTTACACACAGAAAATACAGGACACACATACATATTGTTACATTCCACAAAGCTGGTGAATTACTTTGATTTGGAATAAAATTATATTCACTATATTTTCAATTGCTTTGCTAGTGTATTTCTCTTTCCTTCATCTACTACATTTATTTATTATCTTGAAATTTATCTAACAAGCATATAACACATTAAACATATAGACAGACATAACACATTAACACAGAGTTCCATATTGTTATAATGCATTCTCATAACTCATTGTATGTTACAAACAATATGTGTATATATTGGCATACATATTGTATATATGTATGCATACATATATATACACATATACATGTGTATATCCATATATATGTATATGTGTGTGTATATATATATACATACGTATGTATATATACACATATATACTTATATATGTGTATGTGTGTGTATATATATATGTGTGTGTGTGTGTATGTATGTATATATATCTCAAATTTTCTAACAAGTCCAATGTCTAAGGGAAGGAAAAATTCAAAAAAGTAACTTTCATAGTTGATAAATCATGTGAGCAAATGGATCAATTTTAATAGTGTCAGAAATCATCATTTATATAGTACTTTAAAAAAAACAAAATATAATCTAAACAACAGAAAGAAACAAATTCAGTACTTAATATGTTAATATATTGTCAGCAGCACGATTAGTGAAGCTTTATAATCCACAAGCCTAGAATTTACATAATTGGAAAGTTTGATACACAGCAGATTACTTCTGTTCAGAACAGGGCTCTTGATTTGTTGTATTTCTGAATAAAATGTTCAGACATATATTAGAAATATTAAGAAACAAAAAGCTATTGCTGAGGCAGGATAGAAGTCCCAACTTTTACTGAAATGAGAACATTTTATTTCTTTAATGATCTGATTATCTGGAATAAAGAGGGATAAGGGGAAAGAAGGCTGATATTATAATTTACTGGCTTTTTTTTTTGCACTCTTTATACAAGATACTTGAACTAGTGCTGAGATAATTGGAACGAGAAATTACAAACTGAATTCAATGCCCTAAAAGGTAAGCTGGATGAGAACAGGGGCTTTCTGATCCCATGCAGGTCTGAGTAGGATCAATGGAAGCTTCTGAGGTACCATAGAGGCTTTTGGGCACTGAGGGATGGAGCAGAAGAGGATTATATGTGGTGGCTATAAGAGGCACATAGTAAATGATACCTTTGGGATTCCCAGAAGTAATTAAGGAGAAGAAAGTTCTGCAAAACAACAACTTATGCTTGGGGGAAACCTCACAACCTTTTCACCTGGGCATTAAAAAAAAAATGGTAGACAGCTTGCCTATCACGTGTGAGGCACTGGGTTTGATCCTCAGCACCACATAAAAATAAAATAAAAATATTGGGTCCACCTAAAACTAAAAAATAAATATATATATTTTTTAAAATGACATTAGTGGGCTGGGGTTGTGGCTGAGTGGCCGAACACTTGCCTCGCACATGTGAGGCACTGGGTTTGATCCTCAGCACCACATAAAAATAGATAAACAAAATAAAGATATATGTCCCTGTATAACCAACAAAAATATTTTTAAAAAATGACATTAGGCTGGAAGGATCTAGAAATTTGAGTTCTATATATTAAAACTGAATATAGAAGAGATAATCAGGAAGTTAGGAGACAAAGCCTGAGACTTACAGATGAATTCAAAGAATTCCCTGTCCACATCACTCCAATAAATGTTTTAAAATCTGGAATGTCTAAGTTTAATTAAACTGAATTTTTACCTCATCCAGAACTTCTAGGGTCGCTAAATCATCTACATCCTTCAGATGGGAAATTAGAGATCTGTTTAAGTTGCCTTTCTTGGTGTGAATACGTTCATGTCTGTGGAGAAAAACCATTTCTGATTTAAGAACTTATTACTGATCAGAGTAGAAATAAGTTTTTGATACATGAAATGAAAAACCCCCATGATTCTGACTCCTAAATACAGTGATAGCATACCAGAAAATACCCTAATACATTTGATCTTTGCTATTTATTTTCTCATTTCCACTGGGAAAATACGACATATAAAACTTTATTCACGAATGATCAAAAGGATCCATGATTTCTGTCAAGAATTTTTCTAAATTTTCTATGAAATTTACAGCTTTCTTTAAATTTCTGTGTGTGGTTCAATCTGTTATGAGGTGGTAATTCAGAAATATTCTCATTTATTGGATTTTCAGTTTTGTCTGATGTAGTATTTGGTCACTGGTAGTCAAAGTAAGGTAACTTTTTTTCCTTTTTTTATTTATTTCTTACATACATGACAGTAGTGGAGTGCATTACATTCATGATTAACCATTCACAGCACAATTATTTGAAACTCTGTATATAAAGTATGAATTTTTAAGATGTTAATTCAGCAAACTGTAACAGAAATACAAAATAAATAACATCATAATTTGAAAAAGTTAAATTTACATATTAAAAACCTGATTTGGGGTACCAGAAAAATTTATTTCCAAAGAGGAACATTTTAGTGACTTTCCAAAATACTGCCAAGATCTTCATGTAACATGGAGATTACGAGAAGTCACTGAGTTCAATGCAATGCTCTTCTTAGTCTTTTCTGGAACCTGCTCTATTGTGAGGAGAATTGTATTTTCATTGTTTATTTTGGGACATACTTTTAAGCACCTGGTTTGATCCACTGGTACAAAGTGAAAACAATAAGTAAGGAGTACTAAAAACCATAACACTCCCTCAGAAGACTTGAACAGTTTCTCCTTGCTTAACAAATTAGATCCGCTGGGGCTGGGGCTGGGGCTGGAGCTGGTGTGTGTGAGGCCCTGGGTTCACACCTGAGTACTGAAAGAAATTTAAAAAGAAAGAAAATGAGCTCAACAAATAAATTCAGCCCCCAAGGTCACCTGCTCCTTTGGGGGCACCAGCATCCACATGTTCACTTGTTACAGGGCATGTTTTCTTCGGCTGCTTCTCTCATTCCTCCATCATTTGTTTTTTACCTTCAGCTGTCAAAACAGCTGTCTCATAAACCACAAAAAAAAACCCTATCTCTGATTTCTAGTTCCCTCTACTTACCATTCCATTTCTTTGCTTCATAACAAAAAAACTTAGAAAAAATAATTTATACTTCTTCAGGCATTCATCTCATACTCTACAGAAACACTTTTTTGTTTGTTTGTTTTTTGGTCATTTGTTTGTTAATGATGCTAATGACCTCACATTGCTAAAGCCAGTGGTCAATTCTAATTTTTTTTTTTGGTAGGAGCGGGTACCAGGGATCGAACTCAGGGACATTCGGCCACTGAACCACATCCCCATCCCTATTTTGTATTTTATTTAGAGACAGGGTCTCACCGAGTTGCTTAGTGCCTTGAGGTTGCTGAGGCTGTCTTTGAATGTGTGATCCTCCTGCCTCAGCCTCCCAAGTCGCCGGGATTATAGGCATGTACCACCATGCCCAACTCCAAAGGTCAATTCTAAGTCCTCATTTTACTTAACCTATAAGCAGCCTCTAACCAACACTGTCATGAACACATCTGTCTTAGAGTCCTGTACATTTTCCTTGATTCTCTTCCTTGCTTCACTGGCATCTCCAGTTTAGTTTTCCTGCCCCTCCCCCATCTTTCTGTCACATTTTGGGCTCTTCTGAGCTTCAGGTCTTGGAGTTATATTTTCCTCATATTTATTTCCTTTTATTTTTCATAACTATAAATGCCACTCCTTCGTGAACAGCTCCACAACTAGGCACCCCTTGTTTATTTAACCCCTCACTTGGAAGTCCACCAGGCAGACTTACTGCCTTCTAAGCTATACTCCTGCCTTCGCTGGCCAAGACCTGCCCCTCCACCATGACTCCCTTACTTGGTAAATGGAGGTTCTACTCTTCCGAGGTGTTCATGACCAATATCTCAGAGACACCCTTGGCTCTTCTGTTTCTCACACTTCTCATGCAATCTAGATTCACATCCCATAAACTCCATGACCACATTTGTCTAGGACTAGATGTTTCTCACCACTATCACCTCCACCATATTGCATCCCAAGATGGCAACGACAGCCTCAAGGTAGTTTCCTCAAGGTAGTTTCCTGGCTGCCACTTTTGCCTTCCTACATTCTTTTCAACACATGGCCAGAGAGACCTTTTAAAAATAAGTCCCATCATGCCACTCCCCTGCTCTGAACTCTTGCCTCCCCATTACCACGCGATATCCAAAGCCTCAACATGGGCTACAAAGCCCTAGAGGGTTAGCCCCCACTCCCCTCCTGTCACTCCCCCTTATTTCTCTAATATTATCTTTCTAGTATCTCCTCTGCTAACTCATTCCATCCACATTGTCTTTCTTGTCATTTCTTAAATATGTTAAGCATGTTTCTAAGGCACAGACTTGGACTTGCTGTTCCCTCTGACTGGGATGTAGTTTCTACTGATATCCATAAAGCATCCTCCTACTTTCTACAGGCCTCTTGTAATACTATACTGATCAGAGTCCTTTCCTGGACAGTCCATGTAAGTTAACATCTTCTATCCAGATTCTATCTAGAACTTCCCAACAGCTTCTTCCTGCTTTATCTTTATATTGCCTCTCTGTCTGTCTCTCTCTCTCATGTGTGTTTATGTCTCTCTGTGTGTGTTTATTGTTTTTCTTTGCTCCTGTCAGACTGTAAACTTGGTGAGATGGAGTAGTAGCATGATTCACTGCTGTGTTTCCATCATCTATAAGAGTGCCTGGCAAGTAGTAGTCATTCATATACGTGTTGAGTGGCTTGATGAAAGCAACTCCTCATTCTAGCATTCAAAGCCATCAATAATACCATCCACACTGTCTTCCTGGTGTATTTGCTGTGAAACACTTTTTACTTGAGCTTAATTGAATCTGTTCCTGTTTTTTTTGTGTTTTGTTTATATCTTCTGAGATCTCTCCATTTACCCCTTTGTTTTGACTTCCTTTTTTGGCCTCATCTGTGTGATGAAATTTCATTCAGTGCTCACAGTGTACCTCAAATGCCTCCTCTTTTTAAATCTCTCAGCAGAATTCTTTTCATCCTTCAAGATAAAAATTTGGTTAAGTCACTTCAGTCACCCATTTGTTTACTGGTATTATCCTTTTACAAGGACAGGAAGTTCATTTCAACATACGGTGTCGAAACACCTGGATAACCACATGAAATAAGAAAAAAGTAAGATATGAGAAGCTGATCTTACTCTTTCACAAACATTAACTCAAAATGGACCGAACACCTGTATGTAAGATGCAAAACTTATAGATGTTTTGAATCCATATGTATCTTATACAAAACTCATGGAAGACAACATGTAAGTTAGATAGATAGCCTCGTGTTTGGCAATAGGTTTTTAGATGCAAAACCAACACTACTCTCCATGAAAGAAAAAACTGGTAAGTTGGTATTCACTAAATTCCAACTACTGTCTGCAAAAGAAACTGTTAAGAAAATAAAATGCAGATGGAAAAAATATTTGCAAGTCACATACCTGATGAAGGACTTGTTTCTATTGCTAGGAATAGTGTCTTACTCCTATTTGCTATCCTTAATTAAATTCCTTCATAATTTTTACAGCACATAAAATTTATGCACTAATATTTGTATGGACAACATAGCTAACATTTGAACCCTGATTAAAATGAGAGTTCCAAGAATCAAAAGATTAAGTTTTCAGTTTCCCATCGTAGTCCATGAACAAGTGGATTATTTAAAACAACAGATCCTCAATAAATGTTAGATGAATGAAAAGGAATGTATTCTTCCACAACTTCTGGCACAGGATTTGCACAGTTGGTTTCTGCATTTGCTGAATGGACCAGGTATCATCTTATTTATTCCTCTATTTCCAAAGAGAGTTATGTAAGTACAATCATTTTGATGTATATATTTTAAGGAAACAGAGAAAGAAATCAAATTATCCATTTAACTGAAATGGAGGGCCCTGAATTTTCAAAATTTGGTTTTATGGGCCCATTTGGCAGCTAGAGACTGTTCCTGAAGAATGAGAACAAGTAGATGGTGAAGAACAGGGAAATCAATATTTGGTTGGCTGGTACCTTCCTCTCTTCCTCTCCTGTGAAGTTACTCTCCATGATGCTTTTGGTATTAACTGTCAAAAACTTTGAAAAGATGTGGTTACTACAATGACTAAAAACCCCAGATGGCTCTCCATTTTCTACAGCACAACTTACAATTTCCTTGGCATGAAATTCAAAGCCTCTATAATCCTGCATAAGTCTTGCAGCATCACGAGCCATCCATCATCTCTGTACAGAAGCTCTCTCAATAGGCCAAGTATTTTCAAGGCTCTGTATTTCATTCATTCTGTTTTCTCTATCTGGAATTATTTTCCTTCTCTGCCTGGCAAAATTCTACTTATCCTTCAAAGTCTGGCTCAAATTCAACCTCTCTATGGAATCACTGAAGGACTTTCCAAAGAGAATACGACACTAGCAGAAAAGTTCTCCTATTTAATTAGGTCTATATATGCTCATCATTTCTGGCAGACTGAGAGAAACTTGAGGGCAGAAACTAAGTTTTTCCATCTTTACAATTAGTGGCTGGAATCTTCATTATTACCTTACTAGGATACATGTATTTGCATGAAACAAAACTGAATTCTTTGAGGTTTGAGCAGAAAAAAATCTCTAAATGATTTTTAGTATATTATTGCTATATTTTCAGATTCTTAGTATTATACTATTTTATAAGTAAACCTCAGTTTTCATCAGAACATCTAAATGCTTACCTAATTTTTAGATGTCATTGAATCAATCACGATTATCTCTTTTTCTGGTGAATGTCTGTGTTTTAACATCAAATAGTTTTTAAATATGAATACATTGCTTTGTCATATTTAGCTACAT